GTACAAGTTTGAATGGGCCCCATAGAAAATAATGGGATTCCACATGTTGTGCATTCTTGTGTGACAGCCAAAGCATGACAAAACACACAGGTGTGAACTTACCGTGCATTACCGTAACATGACAGTGTGACCTAAGAGAGAGAAATCTCCTAATGGGACACAGATGGAGAAAAAATACTAACAGGGGTTATCCTTCCCTACTCTATCCAAAATTAAGAAAAAACGTTTTGGCTTTAGAAATACTAGGCTAAAACTGAACCAACAACATGAACACATACCATATATGTGCCCCAGCCTTCTAGAGAAATGGAGTTCAATATTTGCTTAGCTATATACACATTCAGTGGTCAAGGTTTTGTAATCCCAGATTAAATGTTTTTTTTTCCTGCACTAGGACATTTCAGCCAGGGATGGACAATGAGTAAAAAGCCAAAAAGAACACCTACACTTTTTAAAGAAGAACTCCAGGCAACATTTTTATTAACTCTTGTAGTGGGGCTATCCCTGTACTGCAAGGGGAAAGTGCTTGTTTTCTCTAGGGAGGAAAATAAAAAAAGGTTATACTCACCCGAACCTCTGAGCTGCCTGGCTCTTACACCGGCTCTTGCTGCCTTGTTGCTTCTCTGCTGCAGCGGTCTAAGGTTCCCCGAGTCATCACATCCTATACAAGTGTATGGGAGGAGGAGACAGGCAGGAGGGAGTGCTGTCACGGTGGATCGGGTGAGTATAATTTTTTCCTTCCTAGACTAAAACGAGCAGTTGACCCTTGCAGTATAGGGGTAGCCCCACTGCAAGGGTCAATACAAATTTCACCTGGAGTTCTTCTTTAAAAATGTATTGACAGCACTTCTGAGTAGTTCCAATGCAAAGAAAAAATGTACAGACTACAGTCAATGTATTTGTGTTTTTAAAAGCAACCTGTACGGAGAACATATCTATCTGCCTTTATTACTTTGAGTCACAAACTCATAGCAAGTAAGCAGCAAGTAAATCGAGGGTGAAGTCACAATTTCTTATTTGCGTACTTGTTTGGGTCTGTTGCTGTGAAACTATTGAAGCCACTGGCAACTTTCATATCCTGGAACAAAGTTAGTAATGGCAATCTACAGTATATATTTGCCTCAATGCAGTTTTTCCTTTAAACCAGATTTGTTTGTTTGATCTTTAGCCCAGAGTGTTAGGCAGTCCAAGCCCTTCTGACTTATGCCATAGTAGTAAAACAGTCCTGGTGCCAATTCAGTCTACCTATTGCTAGTATAATCTGTAATTCAAAGGGACAGAGGACAATAGAGAGTTAAGTTAGCCATACACATGTAGTTCTTTTCTCGTTCAGCTCAAAAAAGCACTTGATTCCAGCAATTACGCCAAACAGCACAAATGGAGGAATCTCCCCAGGCCGCACTAATGTGGCTGCAGGTGCCAGCTTTCAGAATACTTGAACAGTGACTGCAGCTGATTACCTTCCCTCACTGTTTGGTTGACAATTTTCAGCCTTTGACAAAAGTCAACTGAAAAATGTACTTCTTTCAAACAGAGTGATGTCAGGCTGGGCCACCTGCAGCTCGAATTCTAGCCGATTCAGCAGGGCTGAAATTCAAGCTGGCTACTAGAAGGAGGTTCCATTCAATGGCTACTAGAAAGAGGTTCCACCAAATATCATATTTTACAGCTTATAACAGTTTCAGCTCTTTTCATAATGATGATATAGTATATATTTGATTCAGACAGACATTGCTAAAAAGTATACACCGGCTCCAGTTGAGCCAAATCATATTTCCAGCCTCTTCAATAAACCTGTCAAGAGAGGCACATGGGAACTACCACTACATACCTTTTTCTGAAAATGCTAGTTGCTCAACTGACAGTGATTTCTAATAAGTAGGGTATAATTGGGTAGAAAGTTGAACGAACATTCCCAAATCAATTTCGTTCATTTGAAATTCTAACTGTGTATACCTTACTTAAGCCACTGATCTTGAACAAGGTCAGTACAGATCAAGCTAGTAAGAGAAATGTCAACATCACAGACTGGTAACTATCCTTTTCAGAAGGTACGGTCATCAACGGCAGACAGGCCTCATGTTTCTTTCATGATAGGTTTCCTTTAAGTATCTGTTACTGTAGGTTAGCATTCATCTGTTGCTTTAAAGATTTCCCTTATTTTGAGGCATATCTAATGGGACCATTTCACCCAAGACTTATACAACTTTTTAGAGAATGTGTGAAAGTTGTGTGAATCTTGGGTAAGAAAAATGTATACTGTAATTAGACTTCTAAGCTCTTTACTCATATCGTGGCCTGTTGCCAAGCATTTCTTTTCAAAGTAACTGTTGGTAAGTCTGTGAACTCAGTAAGTTTGGTGCAATTATTTTGCATCCATTTTTTGTAATTTGGCTAGCTCTGATCGCAGGGAACATGTACCACTGGAGACTCATTATATAAATAAGTGTACTGGTGCTAATCACAATGCTAAGTCTGTTTACCTATGTGCTGCATAATTAGGTCCACACTTACAGTATATCGTTTGGAATATGTACCCTCTTTGAACTTATGAAGGCAATTAGTATAGTAAATATACAACTCAACACTCCAACAATTTAAGGCATCAGTTATTTTTTTGACTATTATCACAGGGGTCAAAGGAGTTTATGTAATCCTTTCCTACATGCTTTGTTACTATTTAGTTGGTATTATTTATGAAGAATGCTTATACCTGCACAGAAGGATGCTGTAATGTCCCACCTCGGGGAAGGTGTAGCTATGGATCGCAACAGCGGAGGATGGATTAGGGTCAGTATGCAGCAAGTCTCTTTTGCCCTGAATGGAGTAAGGCGATGAGATTGCTGCTTCACATCATACCCCGTTTGCGTAAATGGTCACCGTGGGGGTATGCACTATCACCACGTGGCAGTGGCCTAGGCAACTAAGCAGCAATAAATCTTGGTATAATCAATGAGATAGTAATCTTCCAGTGGTATCAGTATAATCAATGAGATAGTAATCTTGCAATGGTATCAGTATAATCAATGAGATAGTAATCTTGCAATGGTATCAATATAATCAATGAGATAGTAATCTTGCAAAAGGTAACAGTATAATCAATGAGATAGTAATCTTGCAAAAGGTAACAGCACAATCAATGAGATTGGTTCACTTGGCTATAGTACAAGCAAAGTTCAGTGAGCAAGTACACTTAGCTATGGTATAGGCACAGTTACTGTTCCTAGGGTCCTATGCAGTGAGACCTAGGTACTTGCGGTTGTACTCCACTTGGCTCGACTGGCATCTGCAGGTCCTCTGGTTGGGGCTGCTCGTGGTTGCTCCTAGGTCCGAGTACGAGGTGGGGAGACACTGTGTTGATCAGTGTCCTGCCACAAACGTTAGTAGGACGCCGACCAATTAGTGAACCGCGGCTTTAAGCCTGCGGCTCGTGTGAAGGGAGGAGGAGCCCTGTGACGCGGCGGTCCTTCTGTTGTCTCTCCTAGACAGGGACGCTCGAGTTCCGTGGCGCGCATGCGCAGAAGAGCGTCGGACCGTGCTGCCGGCCTGGGAGACGGCACGAACATTACAGATGCAGGGATGCTTAAAAGGAATTTGTATTTTTAATTAATTATTGATTCACTAAAATATACAATGTCCAGGCTTTGATTATAGTTCTTTTTGTACTCTGTAACAAAGTGTTCTTCTAGTGGTAACGTTTTTCTTGTATCTTAATGGGAGGTTAGCTCAATTACAGTGTCTTCTGCCTTATACCAAACAGATTAGCCCAGGGGTGGGCAACTCTGCCCCTCCAGCTGTGCTTTAACTACAAATCCCAACATGGTTCTGTCTCTAGAAATCATGCCTGCAACTGTTGGTTTTGCAATGCCTTATGAGACTTGTAGTTCCAGAACAACTGGAGGGCCAGGATTGCCCACCCCTGGATTAGTAGAAGGGACACATCACTGATGAAGATGCTAGCTTTGGTGCAAAAGTAATATATCTGTATTTTAAAAAGGCCCCATGCAGAGCACAATAACCAGAATCAAGATTGCTGATTAAAAAAAAGGGTCCTTGTTGTGTAATGTCTCTTATCTTTATTTGCTGAACAAACCTGAAGCTACAATTTGCTTTGCTGGTTATATTTTCAACCATGGATTGCCTCATTATGTTGACTGGTAGAAGGGTATTTTGGACCCCTTATCAGTCCACCTTTATGAGTAGACATGTGCGATTCGTTTCGTTACGAATCGAAATTCGTACGAATCCAAATTGAGTTTCGGACACGAAATACGAAATACCGCATATTCAGAAATGGAACAAATTTTTTGACGGCGCACAAGTCTATTTATAAGCATATTAGATTTCACAATTCAGAAACCCCTTTCACTCATGTTTCAGATAATTGTGGATCCCAGCCCATCTTAGGTATTTGAAGTAAATGGGGAAAAAAAGCAAACACAACTTATATTTCGGACTTTGCATTGCTTCATACATGTGTAACATCACCATGATGTAGATTATGTTATGTGTTTTTTTTCTCAAAGTCCAAATAAGAATATCTGCATTGTCATAATGGGCTGCACCCATAAGGCTGTTCTCCGCATCCTTAAAATAGGTCAAGCCATATGCCCACCAAGCATGGATGTTGGATCCCCTTTCTGGAAGTGGGTGCAGGTGGACGCCTACTCCAAGCGCACTATGCAAGTAGGAGGTGAACTAAAGAGGGGTCCAACTGACCCTTTTTAATGTCACTGAACTGATCTGTTTGTCGCTGTTTATGATTGTGCTGCATTATTTCTTGTTGCCATGGCGCCCTGTGCGGCCGCACGGCTCGCACACCCCTAAGGCCGGCCCTGATTATTGCAAATAACATGGAAGAACCTGACATTATCCTTTCATTAAGGCACCACGGAAGCTGCCCCTCCAGATACAAGAGAAGTTCAGCATGAAATTATTGTTCACAGCAAAAGAAAGGAAGTAAACCACCTATACATAACACGTTTTTATTTTCATTACAGGATACATATACACAGAAAGAATGTTGGGCTGAAAAGCACACCTCTGACTCTTGCCAAAAAGTGTTCTGTGAACCTTGGAAGAGGTGTGTGGCTGGCAGCTGTGTCTGTAAGCCACCTTACCAGTGTCCTAAGAATACAACCATGGTGGGTGCATGCACAGAATCACAGAGGTCCTTCCTCACTTACTGTCAGTTAAAGAGTGCTGAATGTACTAATTCTGCTTATAAATTCTCATCTAATTCTCCATGTAAAGGTAAGTATGATATCAAACATCTGCTTTAAACAGGTTATGTCCAAACTGTGCTTTATTTTTAACAGATACAGCAGGAAAGCACTGTATCTTTAGCTGATGCTGCAATAAGGCATTGTATTCACAGTGGTACAATAATAGGACATTGTATTCTCAGCTGATGCAGCAGCAAAGTTGGCCATACACCTTGCAATCTGACAAATTGAATAAATTGTTTAGGTAGTACTACTACTGTATCATTTTGGTAGGTCTAACCATTCCCAGCAAATGCCTTGACAATCCGAAACTTAATAAAAGCCTATGATACCGCTGTCCTTTCAGACAGGCATATGAGTAGCACTCTTCATGGAGACAAGGATACTTTAAGTTCTGATTTAGAGCGTAGAGATAAGCTTAAAGATTTTTAAGATCATCCTTTAATAAAAGGAAAAATATACAGAAAAAGATGTTAACAAAGAGAGACAGAGATAAAAAGGAATAAATATTGAGTACTTAACTGTCCTGGGGTTGTAAGTTCTGACAGAGTCCAGTTCAGTGCTGGATCTGAATGGCTCTTTCTCCCAGTAAAGCTTGCAAAGATTCTTTCTGGAGGTTAAAAGGGAAGTTTTCTTGGATGTTACACAAGCTTCTCCTTCTGCTGTTACAAGCTTCCACTTAATGTTAAAACCAGAGCCCCTTTAGCTTCCTCTGCAGCATCTTTTTTTTGTCCTGTAGGGGGTGCCACAGAGCCGGCCCATAAGTCAGGGCTTGGGAGGATGAGCAGGAGGGCTAAGCCTTTATGATGTCCTTCTCTGCTCCTCCCAAACTGTCAATTTTCATAACTATGAACACAGTTTAATATTCTTACCTATTACTGTCTGTTAACCCCTAAATTATTGTGCGTCATAAAGTTAGCTTTAGTGTCTAAACTTGACACAGGAGTGATCTATGGCGGGCCCAGGAGGATAAATATGGCTCGTCATGCCTCTGACCATTGTAACCCACAAATTAGGGATATATGTGACTTTGAAAATTGGGTTAATATGGTCCCTCTCAGTTTATGACCCAGTGGGATACCACACATTCCTTCCTTATCCACCAGGCAATCTGTAGGGAATTAGCTGAACTGTGCAAGACAATTACCATTGTATTGGTGATTTACGACACCTATCGTAAAAGATTATTAAGGCTAATCCACCCCAGGCATAGGGAAATCTCTAGATAAACAATCAGGTTTGATCAAAAGGACCAGATTAGCAGATATCTAGTGCTGAAATTTGAGGATGGCTAAATAAAATTAGGAGCAGCCTGAGGTCATTTGAACTGAATTGAAGGCTGTATTTTTTCCAAGATGAGGTAAGAGAGAATTTCATACTTATATGATATGTACAAACCTCATTACCGTCACAGGGTCCTCCACAGCTATAGTGATTCTTCCTGCTGGCCTCCACATCATTACTGTCTATTGTAATGAAGTGAAGTGAAGTGAAGCAGAGGACTTTGAAGCACCATTTCTCAGTATTGGAGTGGTGCCAGCAGCAGGAGAGGTTGTGATGGTAATCTGGATCTGGGCACCCCAAAATTAATTAGGAAACCCCGCTGTCTCGTTAGTTGGCTGTTCAAAATAGCATGTTGACACGTGTGAGCAAAAATAATGCAATTTTCAGAACGGTGTTTCAAGACAATGGGAAGGAACTAGTCTGAGACAACTGTTTTACTTTGTTTCCCAAGCTGGATAGTAATTGTGCCTTATAGTTGAGGTATAGGCAGATATAAAATACCTCCATTTAACCCATTATGCATTCATTAACAATTACTATTTTATGTATTTATAAAAGCCTCAAGACTGGAAATAGGCCGGTAGTGCTGCCAATCAGTCTGGTAAGAGGAGAGATCACTTGGCTGGGATCATCAATGTGCTGCTGTTCTTTACTACCTAAACACAGCCTGGAATGGTCTTTGACTAAGCTGAATGGATTTAATTGCAGTAAAGAAAAGTTGGGTCAGAACCGGGCTGTGCTGTCTGATAGGATAACACAAGGATAACCCATCTGGCTAAAACAATTACAGATTTTTTTGCATATCTATTAGTTCACACTTATATATTTCAGCTTTGGATTTTGCTATTGGCTACACTTAACTAAGTTATAATATATAACTAAAACACATTTCCTTTATGTGTATAGATATAGTAACATCTCCTTTGCTACTTGTGTATAACTATAGCACAGACCTAGTTTGGATAGTCAAATAAAAAGCTAGGATAATATCAAAGTATATTGGTAACAATGTGAAGCCTCAATGTTCACATTAAGGTTAGCACAAAAGACATGGGGAGAACTTTTTGGCCAGCAGGATAGAGATATATCTACAGATGAAAATGGTTCTTTACTGTGATAGCTTTACAAATCTTGAACAGTCTTTAGCAGGAATTAGTTTATGCAGATTCAATAGACTGCTGATCCAGGGAGTATCAAATTCTCTGATGGGATCAGAAAGGAATTGTGTCTTTTAGGAGCAAATTGTGCCAGGTTTTAAAGATCTGGATCAACTGCAGGTTTAAGATTTTTCTTGGCTGAACCCATTGGACAAGAATTGTGACTAACTATGTAAATTAGTTGCACATCATTATTCTGGCTCCAGGTTGTCATGCGGTTACTCTTATTTTTCCAATTTAGGGAAATTTACATTATCTGTGAAGGAACAAAGCGGCAAAATTGTCAACAATAATGGCATTGTGATAATAACATTACCCGGTGACACCAAGGAACACCATGTGTGTCCACAAAAATGGACAGTCACAGAAGCCAACGTAGCCTGCAGACAACTTGGATTTCCCCAGTAAGTCACATTTGTTTTATTTCTCCTGATTATCTTTGTGTTTTATGTTTTCCACAAGTCAATTGTTCACTGTTTCATGGATAAAAGGCTTTGTTTTCTTATCATTAACCCCATTTGAATAAAAGGGAAAACAAAGTGTTGGGTTCCCCACAAAAGTCATACCAGATCCGTAAGGGATCTAAATGAGGGTAAAAAAACATGGGGTCGCCAGTAAAATTCCTAACCAGACCCTTAATCGGAGCACAGGCTTGGCAGGGCAACAAAGGGGGTGGGGACGAGCAAGCAGCCCCCCTCCCTGCCATACCAGGCCACATGCCCTCGGCACTGGGAGGTTGCTTTTCCAGGATCTCCCCTGGAAAAGCACATTGTCCCCGTGCCGATGGGGACAAGGGCCTCTGCCCCACAAGCCCAGGGTTGTTGGTTGTGGGGGTGCGGGCAGGGGGGCTTATTCACATCAGGGTACCCCTACCACATGCAGCCCCCCTTGTGCATAACGGGTACTTGTACCCCTACTCATTCACTACAGTGTTAAAATATATTTAAATAAAAAGTCTAGACTTTTATTAAAAAATCCTTTAATTGAAATAAAAAACACAACAATGTCCTGCCAAGTTTGCCAAGTCCTTTATTGTTAAAAAAAAAAAAGAAAGACTGCCCAAAAATGGATCCACTGACGTAATCCTAGGGTCAATCACGACGTCCAGCGTTGTCCACGACAATGACGAATTGACAAAATAAAAAATAAATAAATAGAAATAATTTAAAAAAAAATAATTAAAAAAAACAGAGACTGTTTGTTTATGGTTATTTGCAATAAAAATGCATATACTTCAAATTCCTGAGTACAGACCAGTGGCTTTCTTACACTACTCATGAATATACAGTATACTATATGCCAGATATTTACACCCTATAAGGCCTGATTCATACTTGGTGCTGGGGAATGCGCAGGTTACTACAACAAGGAAAAAAAGCAAGTGTTGGGGTGCTGCATTGCTATTTGTTCTTAATGGTACTTCAACACACTTAGCCAACAGACTTGCATTGCAGTGCACCACAGCGCATGGTAACATTTGAACATTTTACCATGCATTGTGGTGCACTGCACTCCAAAAAAAGGACATTCACTTTCTTGCTTTGTTTTGGTGCGTTATGCAGCCCATTCACTGCCCAATGCATATTAACGCACTAACCCAATACACATTAACGCACAAAGTAACACACTTCAAAGCACTTCAAAAGTGTGAACCCAGCCTAAGTCCAGGCCACAGCCACAATGGCATCCTGACCATCCCCACATCACAATGTTAATCTGCTCTCAGAATACTTTAAAGACAACAAATCACGCCAGTGGCACAGGTATCTGAAAAAGATACATGTTCCCTCAAAGGCAGTAAAGTGCCATGGGCAGAGGAAAGGTGGAACCATGAAGGGGCATCGCCTGTCTTTTCATCCCAGCATTACAGTCTTGTCCAGAGAATTACATTTTTCTATTATACGTCCAAAATATATGGACTTTAGTTCAGGCCAAAACATACTGTTTTTATCCAAAAACATGTTTCAAAAATGCTTATTTTTAGCTGCTTGGCCTTTCCAAAGCTGTCAATACACTGCTCAAATGATTATACATAATCATATCAGATGGATAGTGTATGGAGCAAAAAATCACAGCTCCATCTAGTGGCCATAATGGGGCATTACAGCACATTATTCAACCTGAAAAGAACTGAGGAGCATATAAAATAAGCATTTAATTCTTATGCTCCTTGGCTCCAGCTAGTGGCCATAATGTGGTATTACAGTACATTACAATCAACCTGAAAAAGGTAAAACTGCAAAATTCTTGATTTCCTGTCACTTTCTGTTCCAGTGGCAGTGATCACCAGAACAAAAAGGAGGGTGAATCTCCATGCAGAAAAAAAAAACAGCTATAAAACCTTGGTTGTATCGTCCCCGCATGGTTTTGAATAAAAAATGTTTTGCTTTTAAATATACTTTCAGCTGACAGAAGTTGACAGAATCCAAGACCGGTGGTCTAAAAACATGACAAACCAGTACATTTTCTTTGAATGCTTTTGACCAGTGACAACACAATAGAACTAAAACCCTTACCTTAATGTGCTCTTTTCTTAGAGGTGCATTGACAAAACCACTTCAGTCCAATCTAACTGGCGGACAACAAGAACAACAATCTGAATGTCTTCATGTAACCTGCAGAGGGACTGAGACCTCCATGGCTGAATGTGTATTGAAGAAAGACAAAGTCAAAGGAAACCTGTGGGCTGCGGTCAACTGTTATAAAGATACAAGAAGTTTGTATCTTCTTTGTATAATATATGACTTAGATGTAACTTCAGTTGATGTTTACTGTGCATTTATTCTACATAACTTTCGTTGTAGCAGAAAGTATACCCAATATTATGTAATAAGGCTGTAAAAGGCCTCTAGAGTTTTACATTTACCCTCAAGTCAGTAGACGGTTGTGTTAGGATGTTGTATTGACTGCTGGGCTCTGTATAATGTTCTGCAGACACTGCAGCCTACTGTGGGAGGGATTCAGCAACAGAGGCAGTGCTAACAATCCAGAAAGCAGTGGGCAGAACAAGGTGTGTCCATATGCTGATTGACAAGCTACAGGCTTGTCAATCAGTAGTGACTGTTGAGGGCCACACCTCTGCAACATCTTCTCATCCCACTGTAATACAAGCAGGTACACTCTACATAGAGGGGCAACTCTGCTCTGCATTCAGGAGCAGTGCAGGATTGTCATCACCGCATTACAGGAAGCTGCATTAGGTTGATTTTACTTGCAGGAGACTTTGAAGGGGGACTAAAAGAAAACTGTAAGTGCAGATGCAGAGGCTACAGCACATTTGGTTTTATCGGAGACCATAATAAAGTCACCAGCAGTAAAAGACTCTGGTTTGCAAGTGACAGTGTTCAGTAACGACTTTGTAAGTCATAATTGACTTAAAAGTTTCAAACTGAATTCCAGGCAGATATCAAGACACAAATGAATGCAGATCTGTTTTCATTATTACATCATTACATTTTTTTATTTTAGTACAAGCAGTGCAGGTGCCTAAATTCAACTTTGTGTTAGCTTCTGGAAGTTCCTGTACAGTAGCATTCTAGAGGAGTGGAAAGCAGCATAAGGAGCTAGTCAGCTGTGCTGCAGTGCTCATGTGCTTATACCAGACATGCTGATTGGAAAAGAGAGCAGAGTGACAGAAAGATGAGCCTATCAGTTTGCTGCTTGTCCTTTCTCACTCCATTTACAGCAGGCTGGGGGAGAGACAAGACCTGTAAGTTTTACTTAACTGCAGCAGAAAAACATCAGGTCTCCCAGGTCTCTGCCAGACCAGAGTGTGCTGTGTGGCAGAGCTGTGTAATTCTCAGAACTCAGAAATACAAATCTATCTTTTAGAAGATAAAACAGCTCTTATGTATGCATTTAATTGGTGTGCTTAGCTGCTTCCCTGAAAACATTACCTTCTCTGTAGCATTACCTTAGCAAACATGCCTCATGAATAGCTATATTCACAATGAACTATGTGCTTAAGCTGTCCTTCGCTATGAGATTATGGTTAGTTGTTAGTAATAACAGATAACAGAGACTACACAATTCCAGTTGATACAAGTGAAGCCTTGTTTGTGCCACTCTCTGATTTAGTCTCACTTTTTTGCTTGCTCCAACTTTACTGCCTTCGTGTCCAGGCTCCAGCAACTTCCATCATCCTGTCCAATGAATGTGTCCATACTGTCCAAGCTTCCAAATCAGCTGCTGAAGAGCTGTATGCATTCTTGCACACTGGACAAAAAATTGTATCCAATGTCAAGCCATTACAGTCCTAAAACATGTTCTCATTAAGCCCTGATAAATGGGGTATCTGTATGTATTTTTCTATAGCATCCCTTAACCCAATATTGAATAAAGATGTGTCTGGACTATTAAACAGAACGTGGAGCTTCAATTTACAATTCTGCAATATGACACAACAAACCAAAGAGGCGATGGAGATCATCAGTCAGATCACCTATGTCGACTCTTTCACATCCCAACTGGCTAGTCCCACCAATAGGACAAACATTGCAGGTCCATGATTTTATTCCACCTCTTTCCCATGCTGCTTACTGTGGCAGTGCCATTAGACATTGTAATTTCAGTTGGCAGGACTTCACCATGAATTCAGGCAGAGCTCAGTAATAAAGTGAAATGAAATGAGAGGGGCACAGCAGAAATGTTTCTGGCTACTAAAGTTAAAAGCAGCCGTCTTGCTATGTCTATTCACAGGGGTGACTTCCAACGAAGCACAGGCTCTCTTTCAGGATGCCTCACCACTTTGCAGTTATTTGTGAATACAGCAACAGTCCACCAATGTGATCTTTCAGTTTCATATAGAAGCGGTGGAGTTGATCCACCCACTGGAATATTACACTTTCTGGACTACGTTGCCAGGTCTGCCTGTCCAGTGTAGTAGTTTTGAGTGGTTCTCGCTGTCAGTACTATATTTTCATTGTATATATATTCCATTGCACCCAAAGGCTATATTGATCCATTAGTTCCTAATCTGTTGATGATTCAGCCTATCCACATCCATTCCTGACTGAAATATTAGTTTAGAGTGAACTTCCACTGCTTACTACTCCAGTAACCCCCACAACACTCAAAATTGTAAATACATATTAAAAAAAATATGGCGCCTTGTTCTGGGTTGTTGTGAAAGTTGATACGCGATTACAATTTGCGCAGTATTACGCATGTACATGATGCAGACCTAAGGAATGCTTTGTTTTATGTTTCAGGCTGTACTGATAATGAATTCCCGTGTGTGAATGGGAAATGTATTCCTTTAAATACCACCTGTGATGGGGATAATGATTGTGGAGATCTGAGTGATGAACTGTGCTGTTCAAGTAAGTATACATCAAGAAGACAAACCAAACATATATCTTTTATATAAAGAGAGCAACATAAAATATCAAGTAAGGGGCAGAGTTTGAATGTAGTATATAAATTAAGCTTAATATGGCCCTGGTATGGCTGACTGCACAGTCCGCCTTGTATTCATTGATAATAATATTAGGGGTTCCCTGAATGGCCGATTTGCCCAGCGAGCAACCCTCTGTGTTATCAGAGCAGAGGGAAACCTGTACAACTCAGCACCACACAGGACCCGTAAGATCGCTGTAAAGCACTTTACAGGATCCCAGTGGGCCAAACAGGTATATCATATGCAAACCTATATTGGATCACACTGGACCAATGTAGCTAAACATAATACTTTATAGCTAGAGTTCAGCTTTAAATGCAACGAATATCCAAAGCAGGCATGCTCAACTAAAGGATATGCATGAACAAATAATCAGAATGCTTACAGAATTTACCATTCACCCACGATGTGGGCAAGCACACGTTCGGCAATAGTATATATCCATATGGAATTTACTAACAAGGTTAGTTCTTATGTAATGTAGCTCCAGGTTCTGAATGTGTGCCAGCTAAGCCATGATGTATCTGATAAAAATAATTCTGCCTTTGAGACTATATAACTGTTTTTAGTATTTTTTTAAATGTGTCTACCATATAGAACTAAACCCACATCAAGTGCACTTAGCTATCAATAAAGGAGACTCTAAAAAAAACCAAAAATGTAAAAAAAAAAAAAAAACCCTCAGTGAACCATATGCGGAAGAGTATTGCACTGCTCAGGTGCAAATTATTATGGGCATGTGCAGAAATGTAACCACCAACCAACATACAAGATTTCATACAGTGGTGCTTGGAATAGAGATTCCAGTGATATATACTCACTGACACATTCCCCTTTTATGACAGCATTGCATATGGGTATCTTTTAAATGCAACTAGCTTGGAGCAATATTCAAAGAGCTCCAAGGACTCACTGCTCTATTCCAACCTCGACTGCAATAAGTTCACACTCTGGGTGCAGGCTGTAGTCTGCCTTTCATTTCCCAAATCAATCTCCAAAAGATCAGCCGCACAGAGACCAGGCTAAGTGTGGTCCAAGATGTATTAAAACGAATCCAAGCAAATTCCAAAAAGACAGATCCAAAAGAATAATGATCAGCATGTACACCACCATGAATGTCTTCCACACCACCATAGCTGGGAGCATGTGCATTTCATTGCTTAGCGGGCTAGTCACATTTTTTTTTATTTACAATTTTTTTAATATATAAAATTATTTATATTAAATTGTGTCTCTTGTGTTGTGTAATGCTATTTTAGAATGCCGTAAAGACAGTTTTCACTGTTCATCAGACATCTGTATTCCAAAGCATTACAAGTGCAACGGTTATAAAGACTGCCTCAAAGGAGAGGATGAACTCAGTTGTGAAGGTATAAAAAACACGAACGTAATTTGAACATTATTTACAATATAAGTGAAGAAAATTGGTATTCGCTCAAGTATACAAACTTATAGAAGCAGAACTTTATTACAATCCTGATCAAAAGTCCAAGTGATCATAAGTGAATAAAATATCCACAGTAGAGCATATAGAGTTACTACCACCAGATTAAGAGGGGAGGCACAGGCGGTATAAGGAGGTCGACGGATGTTTTGTGCAGGTGTACTTTTTAAAAACAGCCTTACCCTATTTACATAGTGTGCTTTCAAAGTATATAAAAGTCATATCATAAAAAGTCAATATCATATTATTGCTGAACTTTCAGTTTATATTTCTTAGTGGATAGCAGAGTCTTAGAAGACTTGGAAACTCCTATAATAGGTTTGTTCAATAATGCCCCGTGAGTTTCTTTGGTAGAGTTGGTATTTGTGAGTGTGCATTTGAGGGAAAAAAAATGCTCGTCCAGTACCTTTGTAATAATGGAGCATGATTCTGACTTGTCTGAGTACGCTGGGCTTTCTTTCAAGAAAGCCCAGCACTACTTTCTGGCAGCTAATACATTAGTTAAGACAAGGCTAACTTACTTGGCAGAGGGGGAGGAGACATGACGCATTCCAGCATAGAGAATTCATAGAGTTTAGAACTTGCTCTTTGCCAGGTGATAAAAAATGGGTAAATCTCAAGTATTCCTATACAGTATGATTACAAAGAAATTATAAATTATGGTTTACATTTTAGTGCTAAACAGAATGCATAAAAAGAGGATACTATATATACTTTGAAGTTAAGAATAAAAAGACAAATCTACCTACAGCATGTAGCAAAAGCACATGTTCTCCTTTACAAATATTATTACAGAAAAAACAATGCAGAATTTGTTCAATGCAGCCTAATCCATTTTTGTCTGTCACTTTTTCTGCGTGCCCTTAAAGAGATTTTAAACATTTGCAACCAAATTAGGATAACACCTACTTTATATTTGTAACATGTTCCCATTCACACAGTATAACTTATGTTGTTGTGAATGTCAGTGGCTGAAGAGAAGTTCCTCTCCAGCCACTGACATTCACAACAACATAAGTTATGTATACAAATTAGTGTGTATTTTATTTTTTTATTTATCTCAGACAAGGAATCAGAAAATCAGGAAAATAATGAACATGAAGGTCATGCTGATAAAGGTAATTATCCTTTTTTTTTAAATTGTAAATGTTTAGGTGTATATTTGTGGGCGCCTGGATCTGGAGGCAGTGTTCCAGGAGCTGTGTTACAGGTTGGCGGTGCCGTATCTAGACCTCCTAGCGTCCAGGTTTAACAAAAAAACGGAGAGGTTTGTTTCCAGATGGAGAGATTCTCTGGTGAAAAGAGTGGATACTCCTGTGCCTCAGTAGGATCATGATATGCCTTCTCTCCCCTGAAACTCCTTCCTCTTCTGCTTTGCAGGATAAAGATGGATGCCATTCCTGTGATCCTCATAACTCTGGATAGGCCCAGGGTGATGTAGTATTCAGGCTCCTGCCAGATACTTTGTGGGCTCCCCAGAGCTTTCTGGACTTGTCTCAAGGTCCAGTTTATCATCTTGCTTCATGGATGCTGGCTTAAATTACATGGTGGTTGAAACCCAAGTTTTGAGGGGCATAGGGTATGTCTGAATTGGATTCTCATGATGTTAAAAAGCCAGAAATTCTGCTTCCTGCAAGGTCTAGCATTGCACATGGAAGACATACTTTGCTTGGTGCAAAGAAAGTCGCTTTTATCCCAGGAAATACTTTGTGAGAAAAATCTCACCTTTTTGTAATAAGGCCTGAAGCAATACAACTTATACTATTAAGTACGTCAAGGGCGGAATCTGAGCTCTTGTGATCTTGTTCCAGAGACCCCTTGCCCCAATTGTTTGATTAAGACCTATGTTTACAGTGTGTCTCACGTAGCTCCCCCTGTGCATTCACCTGTGACTCTGTGGGATCTGAATTTGTTTCTTTTGGCACTTCAGAATCAGCCTCTTGAATCTATCAGAGATATTTCCTCTTACTGCAAGATGCTCCCCAAGAAACTAGCACGGGTTTATGCATGCGTGCACATGGTACCACACCGCCCTGTTTACGGGATTATGGGCAAACATGCATGTGGTATGTGGATGCTAGTGTTCATTCGTGCAGACATGTGCGCACTGGAAATTCTGTGTGTAAGCGTTAGCAGTAGTGTACGCGTTCTGGCATGTGTATGTACCTTGGCACATTCACAGGAACCAGATAGCCTATGAAAAACAGTGTGAACCCTGAGCTAGTTGCTGAATGGTCTTCAGCTGCTTCCTGTTTTCCCTATCCTGTGATTCTGCTGACCTGTGTATGACTTTAGCTAACAATCTTGACTCTGCTTCCAATTTCCGATATGGCACCTCATGTTCGAACCTGACTTTCCTGTGTATTACCTCAGCCTGTGACCTCAACTCTGCTTGCATCTACTGATTTGGCATCCTGTTTTCATATCCGATTCTCCTATGTATGACCCCGGCCTGTGACCACTCTTATTAGACCATCAATTAAGCTCCACCTAAATTCTGCTGCCTGGACCTCTTGCTGATGCCAATTGAGCCAGTTCCTGCGTCCCATGGGATGTCACGGCTTTAGTCTGAGGTCTGGTTCCGGCACCCACAGTAATTGGGACTTCAGACTAATGTTCTGGTACAGAACCTTGCTGTTACCACTTGTGCCAGTTCCTGCATCCTACAGAACGTTGCTGCTTCAGTCTGGTTCCTGCCGCCAAAGTCTTTGGGTCATCGCACTCAGGCTTTGGTACAGGACCTTTTCAGCTAGCTACATCGGCACTTGTGCTCCCCGAGTGCTCACTCCTGCTACCATTTCCAAGGGAGTTAGACAAGTGGTGCATGGGTAGCCCCCTGTTTAGCTCGGTTTCCATCCAGGTACAGGGCACTTTCTCACAAGGTTGCTTTTCTTGTCTTTCACCCGGCAAGGTGTGTGTCTGACCTGGCTGCTTTGTCATGTAAGGAACCATTTTTGGTCTTACATAAGCGTAAGGTGGTTATGTTGTTTTCACCTCAACCAAGACATTGTTCTTTCATCCCTCTGTCTGGTTTCAGTGCATCAGAGGTAAATCATCCTTCATTGTTAGGATGCAGTGTGTGCTATTCATGTCTGTCTCTCAGACACTGATTCCATTAGAAAGACTCTTTGTCATCCATGATGGTCCCCATAAAGAAGAACCAGCTGCTCTCTCCAGCATTTCTAGGTGGCTTAAACAGATCATCATCCAAGTTTATTTATGGTCTCAAGGACTGGGTTCCATCCTTGCCTGTCAGGTAACTGTTTCAGAGACCTGAAAAGCTGCCACCTGGCCTTCTGGTTCACAATTTTTTTCAGTTTTACTAGTTCGATGTTAATGCCTCACCTGATGCCAGTTTCAGGTGTAAGGTCCTTCAGGCGGCTTTATGAGCTACAGGCTGCTCCAAGTTCTGTTCTTTTTGTTGTTCTGAAGGTCTGTTAGTGTTCTGTTGATGTTGCCCAGCCCTCATTTAAACTGATTTTTGATGTCCCAACTGTCTCTGAAACCTTTGCCCCACAATGGACAAGAAAGAAAACTGGAGTTTTGTACTAACCTTAAATTCCTTTTCTTTTTAGTTCATTGAGGGACAGAATGAACTCTGTTGTGAACTAAAGTTATCTTTCCCTCTCAGTGAAGCAAGGGGAACCAGGATGAACAGTTCACAGTAAAATAAGGAATGGGGAAGAAGATATTCCCACTGGGGTTATGGACCACAAAAAACACCCAAAATAAAATAATACTTTGACTTGAGACACAGGATTAAAAAAACTGGTCTGACTTCTAACATAACATTTATATCATTAAGAAAACAGTTGCTCCAAAGCAAGTACAAAATTTGTTAAATTCAGGGGATGATTTACAAACAGTAATGCAAATAAAAGTGGCCGTTACAGTTTATTAAACCAAAACATAACAACTTAAATGGTTAAATATACCCCAAAACAGTGGTCCCACAAATGCATTTGCCCATTCATAAATAGAAATATATCCTGTTCTGATACTTTGCTCTGCTCCTGAACCCAATGTAGTCTGAGCTTGGAAGGCATCTTAAAAGGTCAACTACTCAAGTCCTTTACTTGAGTGGTAGGTCTCTGTAACTCCTCTAATTTCTTTTCACTTTGCATAAACTAAAATTATAGCCTGTATTTCCAGTATGGGAAACTTTTCATACTTTTAATAATATAGCATAGATTTTTGTTTGCTAGATACTAGGGATGCACAAATACATTGTACCTATTCCAGTATCTGTGCCGGTACTCGTAAAAATACCTCAATACTAACCACCGATGCCAGCACTTAACATTTTTTAACTGCAGTTGCTCCCTAAGTTTCCACGCTGGCTGGGGACCACGGCAGCCTTCATGTTTACAGTACCAGCTGCACATCTCCTCCTCCTTCCTGGATAACCACACCACCCGCCTGCAGGACCACCAAGAACCTGGTGAGACCCCACACAGCCCGCCATAGACCCTGTACAGTGCACCTGAGACCCTTCACAGCTCACCATAGTCCCCGCACAGCCCATCACAGACTTCACTCAGTCCACCATAGACCCCGCACAACCCACTGTAGACCCCCACACAGCCCACAGTAGACCCCGCACAGGTCACCTGAGACCCCGCACAGTTCCACACTGCCTCCTGAGACAATGCACATCCTCCTAAGACCCCGCAAAGCCACCTGAGATCCCACACAGCCCACCATAGACCCTGCACAGCCCTGTTGAGACCCCACACAGCTATGGCGAGACCTTGCACAACTCTCCTGAAACCCTCCACAGCCTTCTTAGACCCTGTACAGCGCACCATAGACCCTGCACAGCCCACCTGAGAACCCACACAGTCCTCCAAAGAAAAAAGAAAATGGCACTGCGAATCACAAACTCAAAAAATATTCCTAAAATGTGAATCAAATAGTATAAATTGTGAAATTGTCACAAAGTGATAAACAATTTTGTGTTATACACAACACCTGTGTTTCACAATGCCTATGCTAATAATAGTTCAGAAAAAACTCTTGGTCTAATGGTCTAGACACTATAAACCATAATAAACATTAAAAGGATGTGCTAGTACATCTCATAAAATGTGTACATATAGAAAATCCTGTGTTAAATCTCACAAGTGATGTACAACTCCCTCTTAATCTACATATCCATATGTGAAGTCCATTAATTCTTGATAGAATAAAGCCCTTGAAATATGTGAGGATATATCTTCCAACTTTTATAATCAACACCACTGTCAGGGTACCATGCACAGGCGTCCTCACACCACATGCAGGTACCCACACAGGATGACCAAATTAATATGCCCACACAGGATAGGGTTCTATGCACAGTTTATTTGTTACCATCAAACAAAACTACTAACCCCCTCAACCCCCCACAGGTTTAGCAGTGAAGTAACAAGGAGGGTTAACAGGAGGGCAGCACAGTACAGGATTTAGGAAGAATGGTCAGGTACAAGCCAGGTCGTTAACAGGAGGGCAGCACGGTACAGAAACAGGATCCAAGAAGAGTGGTCGGGTAACAAGCCGGGTCGGTGACAGGTCTGCAGCTAGGAAGCAGGGTTCAGGTAGCTGGGTTCAGGTAGCTGGGTTCAGGTAGCAGGGTTCAGGTAGCTGGGTTCAGGTAGCTGGGTTCAGGTAGCTGGGTTCAGGTAGCTGGGTTCAGGTATCAGTCAAGTGCAGGCGACGCAATACTGAGCCAGCTTCCTGACTGCAGGGAGGGCCTAAATACCCTCCCAGGAAGCACCAGGTGATGGGATGATCAGTCACAGCTGGTGCACACCCACAGGTGAGTACTGGAGCTGCAGGTTCCTTACAGTTCCTGGCTGCTGGAGACACCCGCAGGCGAGCACAGGAACTGCAGGACCTGGCTCCGGCGCCACCTGGGGGTGCTCTGGATCCTGACAACCACGTCCGTGAATACATAAACAATTAGCGAATAAGTGCTCTCCAGTCTCGACCGTGATCAAAGAGAGGATCTGGCCGCACTCACCGGTGGGCGGATCTATGCGAACATTACAATCATTGAGACAGGAGCTCCAGTGGACACAATCCATGATTATAAAAGTTGGAAGATATATCCTCACATATTTCAAGGACTTTATTGTATCAATAAGTAATGGACTGTCTAGACCATTAACCAAGAGTTTTTTTCTTGAACTATTATTAGCACAGGTGTTGTGTATAACCCAAAATTGTTTATCACTTTGTGACAATTTCACAATTTATATTATTTGTTTCACATTTTAGGAATATTTTTTGAGTTTGAAGCGCAGTGCCATTTTCTTTTTTCCTATTTTGGGTGTACTCACATATTTAAGCACAGCTGCTTTTAGAGTGCTAATTGATTCCTAGCGCATTTTTTTATATCTAACAGTCCTCCAAAGACCCTGCACAGCCACCTGAGACCCCGTACAACCTCCTAAGACCACACTCTAGCTGATTGTTTTATTCTACATTGCTGTATAATGTATCATTGGAATTTGTAGTCCTCTATAGCTGATGGTATTATTCTGCATTGCTGTATATTGTATCACTGGGATTTGTAGTGCTCTATAGCTGATGGTATTATTCTGTATTGCTGTATAATGTATCACTGGGATTTGTAGTCCTCTATAGCTGATGGTATTATTCTGCATTGCTGAATAATGTATCATTGGGATTTGTAGTCCTCTATAGCTGATGGTATTATTCTGCATTGCTTAATAATGTATCACTGGGATTTGTAGTCCTCTATAGCTGATGGTATTATTCTGCATTTCTGTGCAATGTATTGCTGGGAATTGTAGTCCTCTATAGCTGTTGGTATTCTGCATTGCTATATAATGTATTGCTGAGATTTGTAGTCCCTCTACAGCCTGGAGTCAGTAGCAGAACTACCAGGTTTGCAGCTTTTGCAGCCGGGACTGGGCCCTGGCACTTTACTACTGTCCTAAAATGATTTGTCTGTATTGTTTTTTTAAAAACTGTCACATGACAAAGATATTGGTAATTGGTATCAGTCAGTACTTGAGGAAAAGTATCAGTACTCATACTAGGTAATGAAAAAAGGGTATCGGTGCATCCATACTAGATACAAATGTTACCCTTAAAATTATCGTTTTATGTACAATATTATTTTCTAAAATTTTGTTTATTTACTTCAGAGGCAGTAGTGGAAAATGCTGGCAATAATGACAAGAACGATGATGATGGTAATTATACTTTTTATTTAAATAATTTATGTACTTGTGGCATGTATCAAGATATCAATGTATTATTTTCACAAATTGAAATATGAACAACATACCTGATTGTTTGGTGTAATTTTATTGTAATAATAAAACAGATGCAATAATTGTGCGGGGATTTTGTGATAACACCTGGAGAGTCAAAATAACAAAAAACATTGGAACTAACATTTTGAGCTTAAAATAAGTTTTTTACTATGTTCCTATCAAAACAGTTTTCAGAAGCAACTTAATTATCACTAGTTATGAATCTAATGAAAGCTGCAGATTTAGAAATATTGAAAATTACTTTTGAATTTACCATAACACGTTAAGCATTTATGAGATTTTAGTTATTTGGTTTACATATACTTTAGGGATTAGAAACAGGTTACATGTCAGAATGACTTTATTGTGGTCACACATTATATTTTTACTGGTTTGTTAGCACCACAAGCCTTACAGCAATTCAAAATTGTTGAGACAAAATGGAAGTAGGTGAAAAGCAGCCTTGGCAACCCAAATCATGATCATGAGCATGCTTTGCTTAACAAAACTACAGTTAAAGAAGCAAGAAACTTAGAGCAACAGGACATATGTGAATAGACTGCAGCACACACATTGGTTCATATGGGCCCAGGAATATTATATTCTTGTATCTTCTTCTGATACACTCGCCTTGTGCTAACTTACTTTTTTTTCTGTGCAGAGCTGGTTAACGCAGTAAATTTTGACATTGAAGCAGGTAAGTGAATTGTATGCAATTTGTTTTCATTATTCATCTGCAGACAATAAAGCAAATCTGTCTGTTTTAAAGATGGATGGATAGATGGATAGATAGATATTAAAAGGTGCCTGATACATACTGTCTTATTTTCGGGGGATGTCTTACTTTCGGGGAAACACGGTATCATATTACAAATCTTAAGAAAATAAGAAGGAACAAAGCTACTAGTCACCTACTATATTTGTATTAGAAGTTCTCCGATATGATTTACTGCAATCAATAATTCAAGCTTTACTTTTTTTATTTGTCTTCAAACATGCTTTGTTAATGTTTGTCTTTTCATCCATAAAGAGAGAAAGCTTATAAAAGAAAGTATTAAGGGCCTGTCTTGTGGGGTGTCTATAAAACAATCTGAAAACAGGAGAACCAAAAGAATCATTGGAGGGCAAAAAGCAAGTCAGGTAACGAACGAACATTTTGATGATCCGCTTACATGCACACAATGCAAACCGAATACTTGTTTGCAAGTAAAATGTCAGATATGTCTGCAAATACCTGTGGATCGACCTGGGGGTAGCCAGCAGCTAAGTCCAAACTAGGGACTAGGGACCACATGAGGGGGTCCCTGGTAAACTACCCCTTAGACTTCACTCACAGGGAAAGTAGCACAAAAGAGTGGGCTCACACCTCCAGATGTGGTAGAGACCACTCTCATTGGAACATTTATTAAAAGAAAACTATGGCCAAACCTTTTTTGGTCGTATTTCTCTTTAGGTCACAGGAGGACATTTACTAATATCCTCCTGTGACCCAAAACTCAGCATATAGCAGCCTATTGCCCACTATATGCTGACAGCACAGAGCCGCACTGCAGCCAGGATGGATCTTAACATTATTGTTGTGATCCACCATGCTGCTTGATTCACAGTTGACTCGGTCTCTCTAGAGGCAGAGCCAGTTGTGTCCGCCCCCTCCCCGTCTGTCCCTCCAGTCAGCGCTAGAGGAACAGAGAGTGGATCCCTTCGGGGAGCAGTGACTAACAATCTGCGTTTTCTGCAGGGAGAAGATCGGTGGTTTGTGATCGCTCAGTTCTCGATCAATAGAGCCGATGTGTGACAGTTTCAGTGTCACACTTCGGCTTTAACTATTGGGATGAGTGTCTTTCACTTATCCCATAATTCTCCTTTAACCACAAGGCAAATACAGCTTAAATTCTGCATTTTTTTTTGATGAGGTTGCTGCACTAGTTTTATTTTTTTCTGGCATTTTTTTACCCTTTATTATGGTAGAGCTGTATACTGGCTTTCCACTCCCTGCCTTAAAACCTTCTTACATAGTAATGCTTGCTCTACTGACCTTTAAAAAAAAGTGTAGTGATTTTGTCTTACTGGTTCTGCATTACCAATAAAAAAAAATTGTATTATTTAGAATAGTTATTCCATGCTTCATTTTTTTTTATTTTTAGAATCAGTTTCCCTGGCAAGTGGCAATTAAAGATGGAGCCAAAGTTAACTGTGGTGGAATTTACATTGGGGGCTGCTGGGTGTTGACAGCTGCCCACTGTGTCAGGTATAAGCATTGTCTCCAAATGATTGCCTCTTATTTGATATATTCTTCTTAAGATAAATGAGTATTATCTATTACATGTATGTAGCGGTCAAGACCTTTTGATAAAAATGATACAGTACATCAGTCTCCTGATTTTATGTTTCAGACATTATCCTAAATTAAAAATAAACACAAAAAACAATAAAATATTATTATGTTATTCTGGGCCAGACTTGCTCATTTTTCCCAACGTGGCTGAGCAATTAGATAATTGCTGTTCAAATGTAACATTAAATATTATGTGTTTTTTTCCCATAATTGTAATACTAATACTATGTTGTCAACTACAGAGGTATATAACAAGCATTTTGTTAAAAATGCTTATTTTTGGTCACAAAGATTTTGCAGCTTGTCAGATCCACAATGTTTCAAAGTTTCAATTATATGCAGTCAAGTAGAACCTTACCTTATACAATTGTGGGTTATTTTTCTTAAAGCCCAATTCCAGCTTATTTTAACCCTCCTACCCCTTCCCATATACCCCACCACCACCACCCCTTAGTCTGGCCTGCCACCAGCAGTAGGATCTCCCAGCTATAATTCCAAACATTTAATTTCAGTTCACTGATTAGAGATGTCCAAAATACATATTCTGATGGGTTGACATAAGCTTCTGTACTGTACTTTACACATTGATGTTTGCCTTACTGATTGGTCCTAATTATATTTAAATAATGTGTAGGGCAGACCAGCCACAGAAGTATCGCGTAATCATTGAGCTCCTGGATCGTCTGTCTGTGTCTCAGAATGTTGATTCATTCCCTGTGAAAGCTGTGAAAGTACATGAGAAATACAACTCTGCCACCTATGAAAATGATATTGCTTTGCTGGAAGTTGTGAACATATACAATGAGCCAGCTTGTATGCAAGTGGACAACAATCTAGTGCCTGCATGTGTTCCTTGGTCCACTCATCTGTTCAAGGCCGGAGAAACGTGTGTGGTTTCAGGATGGGGCAGAGAAGAAGGTATAAACTGACTGTAATATATGTTATGTAATCATACTTACTTTTTATGGGGAAAACTAAGCACAGAGTAATATAAATATAAGAATTGTACCAATGTCAGATACTTTGTGACTATATAAGGTCGCAGAACTCCTTAGGTTGTTTTTTTATAATTATACAGGTAGATCAATTTTAAAGCAAACCTGTCATCTAAATAACCGAAAACTTCTGCAGCTATATAGTGCAGGCACCTAGAGCTGCCTCTACATAACTGCGGATATTTGGAGGTGGAAACAAAGCGCTGGACCTGTGTGGTTATTCTCCTGGTGTTTCTCCTCCAATAGTGGGAAAGTGATGTTAATGTGTGTGATCTGGCTAACGGGTAGGCAGTTTCCACAAGCCAAAGGATCTCCACAGTATTCTTGGCTCGACAGTGAACACAGCAGATGCAGGAATTAAAGTGCCACACCAATTACAATAGTCCAGATACAGCCTTATTCCATTAAGTTTCATTCAAATAGAGTGAAAGTCCCCTGACTCTAATAGAATAAAGTTATATCTGGACTATTTTAATTGGTGTGATGCTTCAATTTCTACATCTACTGTGTCAGCAGAACTGCAGCAGCTTCCCAGGCTAGCCTTTTCTGCCCTTTGCACATTTAAATTGGCCAGTGAGCATGCCCATCATGATAATGGCCCTATAGGAATGTGTGGGGTCAGAGCTTACTAGCAAGCTTTAGGCTACCTGGTAGTAATTCATTATTTGCCTACCAAAATAAAATGTATATTCTTTTTTTCAAGGACATTTAAGGATGTTATTTGATACACTGTTTCAAATAATAAATTATCATAACATATATTTTCAACATTTCGGAATTGTAAAAAATGTACTTGAAGAAAATTGTATTTGTTATCTAATGGTTAACTAGATAAGATATAGCTGCAAAAAAATGCCAGGACTGTAGAAGAGAGTCTAAAAGAGACAGTCTGCCCGCTCTAGGTTGGTATACCTAAAACTGACCTCTAGAATAGTAAGGCAATTGTTGCCCTGCGCTGCTGGCAGTTTGTTTCTAGATCTATGGACACACAGTAGGCAAACTACAAAACTACACCGTAGGCAAAGTACAAAATGCCTGTGAAGGTTCTCATTCATCCAGGTCATGGTATATCTGTAAAAATAATTCAAGTCAAGTGGACTTGCTGTATTTTTCTTGAAGACGTTTCACTGGCTATCCAACCAGCTTTCTCAATTCAGAATGACTTGTGCAAGTCATTCTGAATTGAGAAAGCTGGTCGGATGACCAGTGAAAACGTCTTCAAGAAAAATACAGCAAGTCCACTTGCCTTGACTTATTTTTTACAGATATACAAGTACAAAGTACACAATGCCACTAATTAAAAAAAGCAAAACATTCAGGGGCAGGGCAATGAGAACCTGATTGAACAGCACTAGCAGGCAGTGTGACAGAACTGTTTATTGTACATAGAGATGTATTACTGATTATCAGTATGACAATGTTTGGCCAGCTAACTGCTGTTCCTGGTGGCCGTGCCAGCATTGGACACAGCTTATGTGTCCTATGAAAAAATCTTGCCCTGTTGATAACAAATGTATTTTTCTCTATAGGTTTTACTAAGGTATTTCATCTAAAGTGGGGACATATTAGGCTGATGAATAACTGTACTACAGTCTACCAAGGTCGATTTCTTGATGGAATGGAGTGTGCAGGTAAGATTTCTCTAAATTTCTATTAAACAGTAACTCTATGAAACAGAACTCATATCTTTGGATATGTGGCTGACGATCAGTGTCAGCCTACGCTAATACAAAATATTTATTGCTGAGCATTTGACTCTTACTTTTTAGTGTTGATAGCAGACATGAGATAGCATCAGGAGAACATTTTACGTCTATAACAACAGCAGACTTTGCCAGTCAACAGTTCTCAGAGGAATAGGTAGTCTGGTTGGACAGGTGTGAGACCTTGATTGATCCATATAGTTCTATAGGCAGGCTGCACGGTTCCCAGGAGGATAGGTAGTTTGATTGGACAAGTGTCAGAACCTATTTGATTAATAACGTTCTTTGGGTAGTCTACACGTTGCCCAGGTGGATAGATAGTTTGATTGGACAGGTGTGGGAATCTGTTTGATCACTATTGTTTTACCGGCACTCTGCAGCTGTAACATGCTTACCTGGTCTGTGCAGGCTGATAAGATCTCCACTACAAAGTCTCTGCCTGCACTTGTCTCCAGTGCTGTGCAGCCAGCTCTACTCCTACACACTGCCAATGATTGCCCTGCTGACTTCTCACCTCAGTCACCTGTACCTGTTTCCAGCATTCAGCAATCTGCTCTCCATCTGCAGCCTCCCACTGATAGCTTGCTCTTCACCAGCTCAGGCTGCTGTATACTGACACCCTCTAGTGTTGGCTGCACAGTATCAGCACCTAATTTAAAATGGCAAACAGTTACAGAGCAAGTTTGCATTTTTAAACCCAACACTACACCTCCTCTGGGAGGTGCTAATTACCTGAGGCACTGCTGCTCAGAGAGCTCATTTGTTGTAGAGCTACTGTGTGAATACTGTGTTATTGTCCTTGCCCTGACTTTAGCCTGTTAACCGTTTATGAACCTAAGCTGCCAGCCCTGACTTTTGGAACTGTCTGACCACGCTTCTGTATTTCCCTTTTGGACTGCGCATCCAGTATTCCCTTAGCAGGAGTCCTGTCTGTTTATACTTATCAGTCCTGACTAGTGGCCGTATGAATATCCCCGTTATTGGGCTTCATCCTAACTACATCCCTGATAGCAACCATGATCAGTCATGGCCATGGGGAAGAAATCAGTCACCATTGTTGGATTGTGACTGGTGGTGGGCATTTATAAAGGCTGAAGTGGAGCAAACTACCCCATCTTTTTTGCCATGAATAATTCCATCATGTCTCAGAGATCTATGGAAACGGTGTCCTATGAACCACAAGCTCGGCAACTTTAGATGCATCTCCTGACATTCACACAAAGCCATTTAATTCCCCCCAATTAGCAAATGCATGCTGTTTTTAACTTTTTTCTTTTAATCAATGCTTATCTCGCTCCTGACTCTTTAGACACATTGGGAGTAACCAATAAATAAATTCATATGGCTATTTAAATGTGTTCTCATATATACGTATTTTGCAAGTTTTGTATTTAAAATAGAATAGACTGTACATATTTGTTTAACAGGCAGTCCTTCGGTATTCCTATGCCCTATTATGTCCAGGCCGGTAGTTCTTTGTTTTTTTATTGTCCTCCATGGTCATTCTTCCTTTTTGTTTCAGGGACATATGATGGATCCATAGATGCCTGCAAAGGTGACTCAGGAGGGCCCCTAGTTTGCTTTGATGCTCATAATGCGGCCTACGTTTGGGGAGTTGTGAGCTGGGGTGAGAACTGTGGAGTGGCTGGTTTCCCTGGAGTGTACACAAAAGTTGCAAGCTATTTCGAATGGATATCCCGACATGTTGGAAGAGCTCTCATATCTAAATATAATGTTTGAAATGTCCAAACTTTACAATGTGGAGATTGCTTATTCACAGAATATCAACATTTGGAAAATATATTATGCCTTTTTAACGATTACTTCATGATTTGTAACTTTTCCTGTTGCACAATAAATCTGTCCTATTTCCTCAGTATTTTTGAATGTTTGTCTAACAGTATAAAAAAGGTGCTATGGTTACAAGGCAGCCATTTTGCTAGTTTCTTGTACTGTGTACATATTGGTTGTCCTCACAGTGTATGGAGGTATGCATAAGAGTTTCAGCCCTGATTTCTGCATTGGAACAATAGTACAATCCTTTGTAATTCATTACACTTCATCACTGAGCTGCATTTGAAAGAAACATAAATGAATGACTACAGGAGGTACACAATGAAATGCCTCAAAGTAGCCTAGATATCTAATACAGAGCAACACAAGCTAGGATAGTGACAGAATAGGCTTTTAGTCCACGTTCACACCTTGGCGTTTTGTAGCTCAAACCCCAGAGCTACAAAACTCTCAACACATGCAATCCCATTGTTTTCTATGATCCCTGTTCACAGCTGAGCGTTCTGTCGCCTGTAGCAAATTGCCGGTCCCTGGAAAAAGTACATGAGCTACTTTTCTGCATATTTCTGCTCTTTGGGCCCCATAGACTTCAATGGAAACACCTGTAAACATGCGGCACAAGTGTTTTCAACCCTTATCCTCTGTACAAGGTAAAAATGCTTTTGAAAACATCTCAAATTGTGCAACAAATGTGCGTTGACGCATTTAAAACCATGCAACGAACACGCTATTGCTTATGTGTGAACGGAGGCTTACCGATCAACTGGACTGAAGATTACAACATTTACTGTAACCTTGCTGCAAAGAAACATTATTAGTCCAACTCCTTAAAGCTTTGTGACATCACATACAATTCATAATATCAGACTATATGCCATTATTTTACACACTGTTCTAAGAAGCCAACCCCTTCCAAGTAGCCCAAATACTATAAAACTTCTCATATTTATCTTTACAAGTTGCTATCCAATGCTCAGAATCCATGATATCATTAACCTGTCGGATCCACTCTGACCTGGAAGGGACCGTGGAGCTTCTGCATTATCCAGAGTGGTGAGGGAGACAACGGACACCAGAGAATTTTGCAGAGCGTTTGAAGACCACTGGGTGGTCAGAATTATCTGGTGAGTGTGCTAGTGTTTGTGCACTTGGAGGTGGATCACTGGTGATTAATTGACGAGGAATTGAAGCACAGAAGTCACAAGTGATTGTGGAACTTTATATACAATGATTATTTGACTCACTGATGTAAAGAAAGTGAACACAAGGATTTCATCACATTTATTTTTAATCACATCAACTTTGGGAATATTTTGATATGGACTATATATAAGTTGGAGTGAACATGTTGTATAATTGTCACTAAGTATATGCACTTAGAGTTTTATAATATTAAAGATAGCGCAGTGTCTTTTGTTTAATATATTGTGGGAGAAGTTTATATAGCTTCTCTCTATCTCTGCAGCTGTCAATAGGGTGTTTGAGGAGATTGGGGCAGAGCACAATAGCGCGGATAATCATTTGTTTTGCTATTATCCAGAGATCAACCGTTTTGCTGCATTAAGGAGAGGAGGTAGAGATGTGGCTTTATATTTAGCTGTGGAAAAAAGGCACAGAGTGGAGCAAAAGGGCAGAGGGAGTAAACGATAGATTCATGTCAAGGATAAGCTGAATTTGCCCTCGTATGTCTTGCCAAAATGGCTTAAGCTTTGGACAGCCCCACCAGACATGCAAGTCCGTGCCAGGTAGCCCACAGTTTCTCCAAACGAGAGATGAAGCATTTTGGCAAGTTTTACTTATGAGTGTGGTACACGGTACCACTGAGTGAGCACCTTGTAGTTGGTTTCCTGGGATCTGGAATCAACGGAGGAGGTATGGGCAAGCTATATGATTTGATCTTTTTGGACATCAGTAAGAGTCATTCCCATATCACGTTCCCATTCCCTAAGAAAATATTAAGAGCCCTTTGAGCCGATCTGGAGTAGTAAATTGTACATGAGGGAGAGACTCAGAAATCGCACAAATGTTCATAAGGAGTCAATGGTTTGGAGGGCTTAATTAAGGAAGCATGTTGTCGAAACAAATGGCTAAATTGCAAATATCGCCAGAAATCAAATGGGAAGGTACCCCATTTTTCCCTCAGAAGGTCGAGCAGGGATAGGGAATTCCCAGACATAAATTTAAATAGATGGACATCGCCATCCCAAGTCCAAGAACAAAAATATGATAGGTGCTCACCCAGCAGGAACCAAAAGGTATCCACCAATTGGTGTCAGGGGGGATAAGTTCATATAATATTGATGGCCAAGTGTCCACAAACATTTGGGCAAATAGTATGTTGTATATGCTTTTGGGTGTCCTTTGGGTGACATCGCTTTCTGGCTTGAGACCATTATCATGAAAGGGCCAGAGTGCAATGATTCGTGCAAGCACAGCGAGATATATAGGATCGCAGCTGCGGAGGTAAGTGGCAATGGTTCAGGTGAAGGGTTCACAGTTACACTTTAGTGCAGTGAGTGAAGTCGGAACCCTTTACACATCATACACCATTTGTTTTTAATAGTATTTTAGTAGTGGCAGCTAATTCTCACAGAACCACAATTAAACAGCATTGGGGCCTGTTAGGATTTGTAGTTCACTTGCCCTAGTTAACTTCACTAGGGATGATGTGCGTAGGTAGCTCCAAGTAATATAATGGCTATAACAGTCCCAGCTAGGTATCAGCCTTCCACACTCCAATTGATTGTAACATGTGTTAATGGCTACTTCCTGTTTGGTGGGGGATGCAGTCCCAGGATATGATGCTGAATCCACGCTGCCAGGAGTCCAAGGATGATAGAGCCAGGGATTTAAAGAGGCTGTAGCAGGCTCTCCTGTCCCAATGCTTCTGTGCAGTTCCTAAGTAGCTTGCTCGACGTACTACTTTGCTAGAACGCCGAGCAAGTGGTCAGCCTACGTTTTTGTAGGCAGAGAGCGGTGGTTGGGGGCGGAGCCGGAGACGAGACCCGAGCGTCTCCTAGCAACGGGACGCCGCTGGGCCGAGCTCGCCGCGTCATCATGCTGGCTCAGCTGATGAGCGAGGGGAGGAGTGGAGCGCTGAGGAACGCCTGCCCGTCGCCCGGCAACGAGAGCGGTGTTCGTTCCTGACACAGAGCACTAGCTAGTTGGACTATAGTCTGCTATACTCACTTCCCCACCAGGAATGTGACATTCACAAGCTCCCTCATTGATGCCAATATCTTCACCCAGTGTTCCAGGTTTGGCATTTATGTTGGCTGGGATTACGTAACTCTAACATATACGCATGGGAGATCGCAAAGTGGTAGTAGTTTTGCCAAATGTTCCTGTCTTGATGAACTTGGTCAACTGGGCCCACAAGCAATAGGGACATGTGAGGCAGAAAGTATCATATGAATGGTCGCAGCAGAGAGGCCATAACCGTGGACATGATAAAGACTGTAAAAGGAAAGTATGCAGTGTTTGTAGAAGTGTGACAATGGTTATAGCAAAAGTACTCCACCAGGACAATAAAGACGACGAGAGGCCTGCAGAGATTTGGCAGATTGACTTAATCATTCCCTCTGTACCAAAAAGACAATGGACTGAGTTATGGTTGCACTGCAAAAGATAGCTATTTAGGATGTTTGCTTGTTCAGCATAACAAACGTGCAGATTGCTCCAGAAGCTCATCATTGATTATGGTGGTCCCACACAACTCCAAATTGATAACAGCTTGCACTTCACTGTATCAATAGTACAATGGGCTAAACATTTAGGAGTGTACTGGGTGCGCTACATCCCATATCATTCACAGCTGATGGCCTGACTGAAAGACACATCAGGCTATTGAGGGATTAGATGTGTAGGCTTAAACCCACACATACTAAACTTTGACATTGTTCCTCCTCTATTATTCCCCAATGCCGACATTCCATTTGTCCAGATCTGAGCCTGAGCTGGCCATCCTCAAACAATATAGTGAAGAGAACCTGAACATATGATTTACCCATCCCTCTACCTCTCCTGCTGGTGCAGGCATATTCTTCATAGAAAAGCATGATTTCTCACTTCTGCCCTGCATCTACTACCGGGTGCTTAAAAAGGTAACTATTAAAAGTCGCTATCCGCTCCGCTATTTTCCAAGCTTTTCCAGAGTTGCTAGGGCGGCAAAGGACCAAAAACTCTGCATTGTACCGACGTGTGGACTTCAAGAACCTGCCCACAATGCTAAGCATTGGAGAGAAAAGGTGAGTGTCCAAAGCTTGCTGAGGCAAGGAGTAAAGGTAATATAACAGCGTATCCCTCTACACCTTCACTTATAGAGCATTTAATACTTGATTTGTTTATATTTTGTAATTCTTGGACCTTCACACAAAAAAAATCATCATTCCAATTCTCCCCCCTCACTGTAACTCTTTTTTTTTGGGGGGGCACAAGTACGTTGACCGGATGGTGCTCACTCCCACTTCCTTATCCCTTACCTAGGCAAGTGCTTACGTTCTCGCAGCCTTCTGGGATACATGCAACAGTCACCATGCTGTCCAACTAACAGCACTTTTAGCTGCTGATTTTTTTTAGCTAGCCAGGTGAAGTTCCTTTCATTTTAGCTAGCCAGGTGAAGTTCCTTTTATTATAAGGTTGCCAAGTAAAGTTACTTTTATTTTTAGCCAGCCAGGTGAAATTCATTTTTAGCTAGCCAGGTGACGCTCCTTTCATTTTAGCTAGCCAGGTAAAGTTCCTGTTATAATTAGATATCCAAGTTCCTTTAATTTTAAGCTACCAGGTGAAGTTCCTTTCACTTTTAGATAACATGTGAAGTTCCTTTTGTTTTAAGCTAGCCAGGTTAAATTCATTTTATTGTTAGCTAGCCAGGTGAAGTTCCTTTTATTTGTAGCTAGCCACAAATATCTGACTGATCTTAGACAGTAAGGGAGCAAAATTCTCTGCATACAGCTGCGACAGATCCACGGTAATATGCATGCCCAAATACTTAATGTAACGAGACGCCAATCTAAAGTGGTAAGATTCCTGAAGCTGAACTAGCACCGAAGAGGGCAAATAAATATTAAGTGCCTCTGACTTGGAAGGGTTCATCAAAAAGTTAGATAGACTACCATAAACTGCAAAATCACGTAGCAACGCCGGAATAGAGGAGTGGGGGCAGAAGAGATAGAAGAGCAAGTTATTTGCATACGCCGCCAACTTGTGTGGATCCGAGGGTAGAGACACTCCAACTATGGAGTCATCCATTCTAATGATGCACAAAAAAGCTCCAACAACAAAACAAAAATAAGTGGCGACAAGGGGCATCCTTGCCAGGTTTCATTTGAAATGTCAGAGTAATCCGAAAATGTTTCATTAATATTAACCGCAGCAGTGGGGAAAGAATATCAAGATGAAATCCAGGTGCACATATTAGCCCCAGTCCAACAATATGAAGGGTGGACTGGATTAACTTCTAGTCCACCCTGTCGAAAGCTTTTTCCACATTGACAGATAAAAGGATCGATGGGCAAGCATATTTACTAATGAAATGAATCACATTCAGAACCCAGATGCTATGGTTGTGGGCTTTGCGGAACGGAACAAATCCAACCTGATAAAAATGGACAAGAATACCAATATAAGGCAAGGTGCGGTTGGCAAATATTTTAGAGAACAACTTAAGGTTCACATTATGAAGGGCAATCGGACGGTAGCTGCCCCACTGAGAGGGATCCTTATCAGCTTTGGGGAGCACAGTAATATTTGCCCTCAAAGAGTCAAGAGGCAGAGGGACCCCAGCAACAATGGCATTGTAAGCCTCTAGGAAATGCGGAGAAAGAAGGGATTCAAATTGGCGATAGTATAACAGGGTGAACCCATCTGGGCCAGGCGCCTTCCCAGTCTTTATTTGTTTTGATTGCCAGGGCCAATTCTTCGGAAGTAAGGGGTGATTTCAGAAGCTCTTCAACAACTGGCTCAAGAGAAGGCATCCCCGAACGTTTACGATAATCCTCAATGCAGTGTGTCTGATCCGCCTCCACAGATTCAGGGTGGTTAGAATGTAAATTGTACAGGCGACTATAAAAGTGTGTGAACTCTGCTGCAATGTCCCTCGGTCCCTGGACAAAGATAATTTCACCCCAGATGAGAAATAATGTGGGAGATAAAAGACTTTGATTGCGCGCTCCGAAGCGCCCTGGCCAGCATCCACCCTGGCTTGTTCGAAAATTCATAGAACGTACACCTACAGGTGTCCAGGCGTTGTTTCGAGTGCTGGTACAACAAGGAATTTAAAGCCTCACGGGCCTGTCGCAGGGCAATCTGTGAATCCATGTCCTTTTATGCTTGGTCTCCAGTTGGTGAATATGCTCTAACAAATAAGCAATCCGATCTGACCTCTACCTTTTGTGATACACGCCATGTCTAATAAGGATTCCTCGAAGCACACATTTGTGAGCCTCCCAGACCGAAAGGGGACTAGTGACTGAAGAGTCATTAGTGGTAAAATAAGACTGGATCGCCCTTTCTCTCAACGTCCGCCCAAATCGCCTGGAGGTGGGATTCATTAAGCCTCCACCAAGGCTTGGCAAAGTGAGGTGGAAGTAGGTCTAGCATTAAATCAATAGGGGCATGATCAGACAGGAGGATATTATCAATCGAGGCCATCCGCACTAGAGGTAAGTCTTTAAGTTGGACGAAAAAGAGGTCCAGATGGGAATAGGTCTGATGGATCTGGGAAAAGTAAGTGTAATCCCTGTCCCCAAGATGTAAGAACCGTCAAGCATCTACAAGGCGAAGAACATTCAAATCCAGCTTAAGAGTTTTTAGATATGAGTAAGACAGGTGAGATGCCCCCCTGGTAAACATCCAGCAAAGGGTCCATTGCAAAATAGAAATCCCCACTCAGGATTAAAGACCCGTCTGTGAAGTAAAAACATTAGGAAACAACCGAGCAAAGAAGGAGTACCAGGAGGGAAGGATTTCCGTTGGTTCTTGGGTCCACGAGCAGTCTTAGGCAAAAAGCATCCAGTCTGTAATATGTTTACCTACAAATTCAGCTTGTGTTTCAATACGTATAAAATGGAGAGTACTTCGCTTTCACTTTCCACCCTACAGAGCACAAACAAATGCCCCACAATGCTGGCACCTAGAGTGCCCTCAGTCCTGGTTGTTCTTCCCTCATTCCTGGGTGTATCCTACCCTCTGTTCTCGTTTATTTCCCCTCATTTCTGGGCGTATCCTACTCTCTGTCCTGGGTGCCCTTCCTTTTATCCCTGGGCGGGTCCTACCCTCGATCCTGGGTGGGTCCTACCCTCGATCCTGGGTGCTCTTCAGTCATCTCCGGGCAGGTCCTACCCTCGATCCTGGGTGCTCTTCCCTCATCCCTGGGTGTGTCCTCCCCTTGGTCCTGGGTGTTCTTTCCTCCTCCCCGGGCATGTCCTACCCTCGATCCTGGGTGTTCTTCCCTCATTCCTGGGCATGTTCTACCCTCGATCCTGGGTGTTCTTCCCTCATCCCTGGGCGTGTCCTCCCTTTGGTCCTGGGTGTTTTCCCCTCATCCTTGGGCCGGTCCTATGCTCGATCCTGGGTGTTCTTCGCTCATCCCTGGGTGTGCCGTTCCGTCGGTCCTAGGTATTCTTCCTTTATTCCTGGGCATATCATCCCCTCAGTCCTTGGGTGTTCTTTCCTCATCCCTGCGTGTGTCCTCCCATTGGCTCTAGACTTGTACTCCCCCCGGTGCTGGACATGTCCTCCCCTTAGGACGCTCTATCTCTACTGTACAGGAGAAGGGTAACACCCCAGCCAGGGCTCTCAGGTATTGTTCGGGCTGTGCTTCCATGCCCACATAAAATATCAGAAAGCCCATTGGGCAGTGATGATGGGAAACGATGCTGGTCTTTGTCTGGAAGGGTGCTAGGTATGTGGGCATGGCTAAAGCATGGCTGTGTTACAGAGGGAATCATTACTGCTTAGTATTGCAAACAAAAAACTTTAATTGCCGGATAGGCATTTACAGGCTTACAGGCATAAAAGGCACAACTTAACTGTACATCCATAAAAAAGTTACAAATTGCAGTATAATTGACTGGCACTTAAGGTAATACCCTCTCCATGCACAGATACATTGTCCTAGGCACACAAGGAGTACTTGCCAGGGGCTGGTAATATTTAGCAGTTTACACAAATGCAGTAGCAATGATACACTGACATTGATGGTCTTCTCTCACAGACATAAGAAGGTGCTGGTTCTGTCCCCATCGAAGAGGAGAATCTTAAAATGGCGATACACCTATAGATTATATGCAGATTTTCTATGGAAAAAGCGCAACAGATTCCTCCATCTACACTAAACTGTGTGGATGGAGGAATCCCTCACTGGGCCAAGCTTCAGTACCTTGCTATTCGGCCCAGCTGCCTCTCACAATACCTAAACAATCTGATTGGATGCAGGCATTGTTCAGGTATTTGAAGTCAGTGGGGCCGAATAGCAAGATACTGAAGCTTGGCCCAGTGGGAGATTTCTCCATCCACACAGTTTAGCGTAGATGGAGAAATCTGTTGCACTTTTTCCATCTGACCATAGAAAATCTGCAGATAATCTTTAGGTTTACACATGATTTGGACCTCTTAGGTAGGACTCCTGTTCTGACCCAGCATACTGGAACACGCTCCCTGTGTAAAACCTAACTTCCCTTAACAGGCTAGGCATCTGTGCCCCTCTGGTTCTCACACATACACCACTAAAATGTAGCTTTATATATAGGAACCAGCAGAAAATTATTGAAAAATTCCCGAGAGAAATTGTGCCATATCAGGGAACAAGGCTTCACGAAGATGGCTGCCAGAGACAAGTATTTAGAGCAACTTGTCCTCTAGAGGTTTTCAGGGAGCACTTTCCCTGTGTAAAGCCTAACATCTCCTCACAAGCTAGGGATTGTTCCTCTCTGGTTCTCATACATATACAACCAAAATGTAGACTGAACTCTGTTTATATATAGCAGCCGACAGAAAATGATTGATCAAATCTCAATAGTACTTCTGCCCTATAAGGACACGAGGCTTCCCCGAGATGGCTGCTGGAGACAAGTACAGAGGACAACTTGTCCTCTACAAGTTTTCACAGAACAGAAGGGAACACAAACAGTAATCTGGCTATGATACCTCTGAATGAGAAAGTGAGTAATCTACAGTTACTGTCCTACTCCTCCTCACAGCCAGCTTGGCCGTCTTGTTACCGATAGCTATATTTGAGTAAGAACTACCTACAGGTAATCACCTGGTTTCTAGCCAGGCTGACAGCCGGATCTGGGAGCTGAGTACGCAGTGTCATCGCTGGTCACCTCACATGCTTTCTGCCTGGACTGCTCCTGTGATGATTCGCCTTCCGCTGCTTGTCCTGCTCATCTTTAACTCGTTAGCTGCCGGCAATCAACAACCGGAGACTCCTGACTGGAGGATGACCCTGAAGAGAATCAGGAACGGGGTGCATAAGATTGACATGTACCTGAACGCAGCTCTGGACCTGCTAGGGGGCGAGGACGGACTGTGCCGCTTTAAATGCAGAGATGGTAATGACATCTGTTCACAGCTACCAATGATTCCTTTCCCATATGGCTGGATATCTCTGTTATTGTCTGGTGATAAATTCTACTCTGTACCAGTGCTGGACTCTAGAGATCTGCCAATGTCATTTGGGGAACATTTATCAAGCACATTAGCACCACTATCAGGGCTAGTGTGCACAACTGTATGAAAATAGGCAACTAGCAGACATGTGCACAAGCAAAACATTTGTTTCGTTTTGATTCAGATTTTGCTTTATTTCGTTTTTTGGAATTCGGGTCTGAAAGTCAAATTGTTTCGGAATTCGGATTCGGACTAAATTAGTTAGCGGTAATCCGTACGAAGTTTCGTTCGTTCGTTGCAGCAAAGTGACATTTAAGAGGAAAAAAAAGTTTTTTGTTCTCAAATGTCACTGTTGCTGCAACGAAAGTTCGTCCAAAAAAAAAAAACGAATCGGAAATTCGGATTCGTTTGCATTCGTTATATCTGTAATTGGGAATTCGGATACATACGAATCTCCGAATTTCCGGAATTTCGATTCTGAACAAAACGAATCGCACATGTCTAGCAACTAGTATGCAGGATATTGCTGGAATCAAGATCCTGTGTAAAAAGAGCACTGTACACATGTAACATTTGTGCAACATTTACACGTGTATAGCGCAAAGGTGCTCCATTGGTTGCTAGGCTACTCTTGCTGCCTGGATCCTAGCAACGAAGGATGGTGCCAACTGTGTACTAGCAACAAAGGATGCTAGGCAGCAAGGGGCAACACAAATCCTTACAATGAAGGACGCTAGGAGCCGGCTTCCTGGCCAATCAGGAAGCCGGGCCGTGGGTTATGACGGTCAGCAAGCCAGGCTGCCTAACAATCAGTAAAGCCGGCTTTCTAGACAATTAGGAAGCCCAGGTGGCACGTCATGACCTGCCTCCTGGCTTCCTGATTGGCTACAAAGCTGGCTTCACTGGTTGCTAAGCAGTTTGGCTTCCTGGCCAATCAGGAAGCCAGGCGGCACGTCATGACCCGCCGCCCCGGCTCCCTTATTGGTCAGGAAGCCAGGCTGCCTCACAGTGTTGCGAGGGAAGTAAAGCCGGCGTTCTTTCGATAGAACACCGGCTTCCCAGGCAATCAAGAAGCCAGGTGGCGTTGTGCTACACTACTTTTTTCCAGCGCATTGTAATGCAGCAGAAAGGAGTGGTGTGAACTGGTCTTATTCACACCCCTTCATTTTATGTGTTACCATCCGTTGGCATTCGTTGACACCAGTTGAAAAATGGATCTCAGCGGATCTAGTGTAAATGGGGAAAGGGTATGTAAACTCTAAGGGTGCATTCACACCAAAATCACATGTCAATGGAGGGTCTGTTGACTTGCAATTGAACCTTCCAATTTACTTTCGATCCGTTGCGTTGTGATCCCTTTTTCAATGGATGCTAACGGAAGGCAATAAAAAATGAATGGCTATGAATGGGGCTAGTTCACCAGATCCGTTGCATGACATTACGCTGAAAAAAAAAGTAGTGCATGTTCTCCTTTTTTTTTAGCACAGCGTAATGCAATGCAAGGGAGCGGTGTGAACTAGCCCCATTCACACCTATTCATTTTTCAGTGCCCTTCCGTTAGCATCTGTTGAAAAACGTATCGCAACACAATGGATCCGGTGTAAATTTGCCCCTAGTGAAGTTTATATTCTTATGTTTGGTTTGTTAAATACAATCGAATGGTTTTGTGATATCGTAAAAAAATAATCATCCTCCACATCTAAGAACTGGTGTGTGTATGTATGTATATATATATATATTACAGTTTTGTTTTCAGGCAACTACCCATAGTGGTCGGTCGGTTGGCTGTGTGTGTGGGTGGTGGAAGACCTCCTTGACTAATAAAGGTCAGGGAGATAGTAGTTCTATGTGTTTCTTCCAAGATAAGCTGACGCCAGAGGTGTCTGGCAGTGACTCCACTTCTTGGGAGGAGAGCAGAAATATGTACTCTGAGCCTATCTGATTATGCAGTTTGCTGTACATTGATGTGCATGGGTCCTACCTGTATACCTGACTTCTGTTTTTTGATTATACCTAGATTTGGAATTTGTGCGGTGGTAGTAGTATAGTCTATTTTATACAACATTTTCTATTTCCCCTTTGGGGGAAAAAAGCAGTAAGCTGATTGCTCTAAACCTAGACAACAAACAGAGGATTTGCTGATGTTTGTCATCGACAAAGTGAAATATTTCTCAATAGGACATACGTAGTGTTTTAGATAAAGAAAAAGTGTTATACTGCAGATAAGCAGTAAAGAACGCCATGTGTCTGTTTACATTCAGGTTGGAGTAACAATATTCTTATGCGACGTGTAACAGATTTGATACCATTGTACAGGTTATTACTCCACCACCACTTCATTTAGTTGCTGGGAGCAGGAGAAGCCTCCAGGAGAGGCGTGATAACAGGGGATAGCCCTGTGTATGCTATGACTGAAAGGGATCTATTTATATATGTGCTGCCCATCCATTCGCTAGTCGAATTCTGTTCACATGACATTACTGTCAGTAGGTGGAGCCAAGGAGAACTTCCAAGGAATTTCCAATGCTCCTTGACTCCATCTAGTGGTGGGAATGCCGTTTGAAAGGCATTTGCCCATTTTATGGCTGGGCAGAAGTGTATTTGCACTTTTGAGAAAACCGCCACTTACACCGCTGACAGGTGAAGTGAATACCATTGATTATCTTGTTACAATGGTAACTGGAAGTGGGTGGGATATATTAGGCAGCAAGTGAACATTGGGTAGACAACTGGGTCAGAGCAACTCCAAAACTGCAACTCTTGTGGGTTGTTCCTGGTCTGCAGTGGTTAGGACCTATCAAAAGTGGTCTAAGGAAGGAAAATCGGTGAACCAGCAACAGGGTCATGGGCGGCCAAGGCTCATTGATGTACGTGGAGAGCGAAGACTGGCCCGAGTAGTCCGATCCAATAGAAGAGCTACTGTAGCTCAAATGGCTTGGTGCCACAGAATACCTTCAGAGGTCTAGTGGAGTCCATTCTTCGACAAGTCAGGGCTGTTTTGGTGGCAAAAGGAGGACCTACTCAATATTCGCCAGGTGGTCATAATTTTATGGCTGATCATTGTATATGTTTGTGTTCCCATTCACACAGCATACTTAAAATAATTGAATGTTCATACCCTTTTAGCTTTTTGCTTGGAGTAGGACTCTATATAGATCACTATAAGCAGCTTCTAGAAGATAGAATAGATGGCAGTGTGCAGACTGAGGGACATTTTTTTTTAAAGTGCAGTAACATACAATGTCTTGAAATCTTTAACCCTTTGTTAGGACAGACATTCCCGCTCATCTAGTTTACATGTGACAATGAAAGTGAAGTAATGAAATCTGCCAGCATAGTACTTACAGGGTTATTTATGGCAAATAAGATTCCTCCATCCCCCTCAAACAGAGGGAATTAGGCAAGATTTTTCAGTCCAAAAATGTAAGCTGTAATTCTTTCATTACTATGCTACGTGAATAGGAACATGTAGCCAATATAAAGTGGGTGTTATGCCAATTTGGCTGCAAAAGTGAAAATACACTTTAGGCTACTCACAGCTTTCTCAGGTAAGATTTACAAAGCTTACACAGGGCTATGGACTCTCCCTGTATGACAGCAATGGTGCTGTGCTTGGTAACTGCCAATTATCACTATTCTCTGCCGTACCAATACCAAATCTTTTCTTTGGTCGATGAATACATGGATGAAATAAATGAAGCTCTGTAAAAGCCAGAAGAAAGCACAAGATTCTGTTTTCTCTTAGTTTCACTTTAAATGGAAACCTATTGTAGTAATAAAGTGATTGTACGTTGGACTTTGAGGTTTTGTTTTTATTGCTCCTAATATGCAATCTGTTTACAATAATCTCCTATTCTGCTTTGTGTATAACAAAAACGAATGTTGGCATTGTAGTGCAGACAACATAACATGAAGCTATGCTGGGAAAACTTACAGGTTCATCTTATTAATGTCCCCAACAAAGTTGTCAGCAGTTCTCCCCTGCTTGAGTACATAAGCAGTGCACACCACCCTCTTCTCATCACCATCATTTTTCCTTGTGTACATTCCTAGCACTCACTCCCTTCCCACACAAGCTGTCTGCAATCTTTCTCCTTCTCTCTCTGCTTATTTACACGAGCAGCTAATTTCATTAATTCTATCCGGTGAAGATATTGTCCACAAGATAGTTTTGTCATTCTAATTCCACACCTCCTCATTGCATATTGTGTAACTTGTTTTTGAAATGGTTACACGTTATCCTATGTCTTTAGAAATGAGATTTGGCTTTCTAATATGTAAAATGCTAAATTGTGCAATTCTATACATCTTTATTGCACTGTAATGACATTCTCATTGTTGAGGGGGTTGAGGTCATATGAGCAGCTCTTTTCAGTATAGTTGCAGTTTATTTGAGTTCAGAGCGCTAGCTTCAACCCAGTAGATCCAGAGTTTAGTGACTTATGCAGGGTAGTTCTAAAGATAATGCCATGGCCCCATATTGCATCTCCGTGATGCTATGTGTGTTTTTATCTGTACAGTCTGCACATCATCTGTAAGTTCTGCTGACTAATGCAGGCTTTGTCTTGTTGGAAAAGTCTTGTTTGCTGTAGTATGCAGAACAAATTTAAAAGAGGTCTCACAAGAATAAATAATTTTATTTCATCTGCCAGGTGACCAAGTGCATATAGCTCTTAGTCCCGTTTTGGTCAGTGATCTAATTGTGAAATAAAAGCACTTCTTTATTTTAACGCTGGCTGTTGTTCTGCCCCAGTCTGGCAAGGCAGACTTACCTGCTGCAGGGAACACTGTTGATATGCTTCCCTCTGGGTATGGTGGTTGTGGATGGCACTGGTTTACATTTAAATGTTGATGCTACTGTGCATGCGTAGTGGTGACACTGTCTTATTACCTGCCTGGTTCTATTGCGCATGTGCCAAATATTGGCATCCTTTTGGCTTATCTCAACAACTCTATACTACCTCCAGAATAGACCCATCAATTAGTGACAGTGCTGCTGATTTCCTCTAACCTGCAGCAGTCATAGCAGATGCTGACAATCAACTTTCAGCCGGCCGCTGTCAGAATACCCCAACAGAGCTGGCATCTGAGAGATTTTCCAACCAGCTCTTTGGATCAGCTGATCAAGGGATGCCAGCACAGATCGCCTCCTGATCGGAACGGATGTTAGTGTATGGGCAGCCAGATCTAAACGGATGGGTGTCCGGTTACATGCGGTTACTCCCGAATCGGCACAATCACGTTTGGCGAAACAGATCTCTGATCTGTTTGTTTTTCCGGACCTGGCCAGAGTCAGGGGTTACCGGATATAAATGGACGTCCATCCACTAACACCAGACTTCCAATCAGGTATACCTGAAAAACTGACAGACGGACTTGACTGGAAAGCACGTTTAAAAGAGGCCTTAATGTTCTTTATGTTCTGTCATACTGACAGAGAAATAAAGGGAATGAGCTTTAGATTTTTTTTTCTTTGAAATGCACAATGATTATTAGGGCATAATAAGATTAGTGTGCTTTTATGTTGGTAGAAGATGCACAGAAAATATGGAGGTATTAAGGTGCATTCTATGCATATGTACCACTAACATAGATTTCTTTTCATTCATAGGTTCCAAGCCAACTCCACGCTACGGCTATAAACCTTCACCGCCTAATGGGTGTGGATCGCCTGTGTTTGGATTTCATGTAAATAAAACTCTTTTTTTTTTAATTATTATTATTATTATTTCATCATTTACTAAGAGGGTTTGCAGCCATTTTATGTCTCCCAATGCTCTTATGTGGAGCAGATTGAAGAATAATTTCCCTAAAGAAAACCTGTCATAAGAGAATTATGGAGGTAGTCATCCTTGACAGCTCCTTATGAAAAAGCTAGTTACTTGGTTGTCATCCTGAGGCTTTTCTTTCGGAGCTTTTAGTCTCTCACCTTTTTAACAAGAGTATCTATCCCTCATTTGCTGCATGCTTGGTTGAGGTTAGTGACTTAGTAGGAATTAAGTCAGACATAGCCAGACAAATGGCATTTTCAAAAGAAGGTCAGCAATGGCAGCCCCTCATTACAAGTGTACTTTATATCTAAATAGGCCCCCTCCAGCCTTCTATAAAGGAGATACATATGCTGCTGGAAAACAAATTGGGGAAATGCTCACCTTTTGGATGATTTTTTAAGGGACCGTAATATACAGGGGTACAGGTACTCCTAGAACGAGATCCCAATAGGTTGGACTTGATGGACTAATGTCTTTATTCAACCTCAAATACTATGTAACCATACAGTTGTTGTATCGCATTGTTTCTTTGGTGCTTTGGATGCAGCAGGTGATTTTGTTCATGCTGAAAACCTATTTTTGGATGGTGATAAAAGATAAGTCACCAACACTCAAGTACTCAAGATGCAAACGTAGTCTAATTTATAGTAAATGTGTTACTAGGTCATAGCCAACGTTTTGGGCCACACAGGGTCCCGTCCTCAAGGAGACACACTGACAAAGTTAACAGGTAGTGAGCAGATATAAATCCAGTGGTAGCACCTAGCGCAGAACACCCCCTCTGACCTCCCAATGACATCTTAATCCCACCAAAAACACCATAAAAATGTAACCTAAATAACATACAGTGCCCCACAGAAGTGAGTACACCCCTCACATGTTTGTAAATATTTTATTATATAATTTCATGTGACGACACAGAAGAAATGACACTTTGCTACAATGTAGAGTAGTGAGGGTACAGCTTGTATATCAGTGTACATTTGCTGTAGAGCTGCAGCTAACGATTATTTTCAAAATCGATTAGTTAGCCGATTATTAAGTTCGATTAATCGGTTAATCGGATAAAACATTAAAAAATAAAATGCAATACATTAAAATAAATAAAATACATTTTAAAAAATGGCTTCAGTGATGGGACTACTAGTTTATATTGAGATTGCAGTCCATCACAGGAGCAAGCTTGGAGCGGTGGAAGTAAAAAAAGGAAAAAAAAAGTGTGGTGTGCAATATAGTGAAATGAAAACTGTAAAATCTATACAGCAATGAATGCAGAATGGCACCGGCTATAGAGGAATACAACAAATCCCAGCAATAGTACATTATAGCTGGCGGTATTCTACATTGCGCAGTATAATGTAGTATTGCTAGGTGTTGTAGTCCTCTATAGCGAGGGGTATTCTGCATTGCACCACTGTATAATGTATTATTGCTGGGATTTGTTGTACTCTATAGCTGGGGGTATTCCGCATTGCGCTGTACAATGTATTATTCCTTGATTTGTAGTCCTCTATACAGCGCAATGCAGAATACCACCAGCTATATAGGAGTACAACAAATCCCAGCAATACATTATACATACAGCAAGGGTGTGGAATTCGTATCGCCCGACGCCCGGGACATGTAGTTCCGGGCGCCGGGCAAGCGGGGACGGAGCGGGGACTAAGCGTTGAATGAGATGGGGACAGAGCAGAGGGCGTGACGGAGCGAGGGGCGTGGTGCCGTGACGGAGCGGGGACGAAGCTTTGAATGAGATGGGGACGGAGCAGAGGGCGTGACGGGGGGTGGAGCAGTGACTGAGCCGGACGGTGGAGCTGTGACAGGCTCTGTCACCTCCCCCAGCCTCTGTCCCCGGCGGGCCGCTGCTCGTTCCTGTCACAGGAGTTCTAGCAACAGTGCTGTGCTAGAACTCCTGTGTTGGAGGTGACAGGGTCAATTAAGAGTACCTGTCACCTCCAAATGCTATCACACAGGGGATTATTATTCCCTGTGTGATAGCAATACAATAAAAAGTTTTTTTTTTTAAATAGTTAAAAAGAAAAAGTAAAAAATATTAATTAAAAATGCAACTAAATAAAAATGT